GGCTTTTTTTCCCCCCCCCCCCCCCCCCCCCCCCCCCCCCACACGCAAGCAAATAAACACCTGTTACGCATATCATATAACAGCTTTGAAAGACACTGCACCTGAAAAGCGTCTAAGAATTAGAATATACCTGGCTCTGTCACCGTAAACGATACGAATTTGGAAAATCATTATTTTCCACAAAACAGACATATTATACATGTTTCAAACACTCATTAATAATTCATAAGTTTATTGGCAAATCATGTCAACCATAATATGTCACGTGCAGTGGCTTTAAACCACTCCTAATTAGTATTCCTTATATAAAGAATATTAGTAAGGCAGTATCTATTGCAAGTCATGTCCTCATTAGTATTCTTGAATTTGTAATCGTGTTTGAAGCTGTTTAATAAACTCGCAGGACGTGTTTTATTAGGTCTAAACTAAATTTCGTCTAAACGTCTTTAAACCTAATAAAACACTCTCTATGTTGGTTTTTACACGCGTCTGTTAGTACAAATTATAGCGAAAGTGAAACCTTCGAGAGTTATTATTTTTGAAACAAAAAACCCCCTGTAATTTCCTAAAAATAATTTGACCTTTGGCTTTGGTCCTTCTATGCAGTGGCGGCGCCACGGGGAGGACTGGGGAGGACACGTCCTCCCCAGTTCTCTTCAAGGTCGATTTTCTAATTTGTCCAAATCCGGTGAGAAATTTTTTTTGGGGGGGGGGGGTACGTTTGTGACATCAGTCCAGTTATTTAGATATAACTTAATAAATTCAGTCTTTATTGTGTGAATAAAAACCGGTATTAAAAGATCTTCGCTTTACTTTTGACAAAAGACCATTTCATATATGCGGCATTTACCATTAGCATATTGCAGGCACTGATTACGACCGCCGAAGGAAACCCATCATAATGGGTTAACATATTACCCAAATTAAGTGCAATAGGTAATGTGTGATGCGGAAGTTTGGTCCTGTTGCTGAGATGTGAGGGAAATATGTTAATTAATGCACTGTTCGCGCAACATATGGTCATTAGCTTCTTGGAATGCATCACTACACAACTGAAAGAGAAAAATGTTCGAAGGAAGAGATCCATCAAGTGAAATTGTGTGTGAGGGAGGCAAATAGAACCTTCGTTTTCGAATCTTGACGGTTAGACTCTGACGGTTAGACCTATCTTAGATTTTTCAACATCGGAAATATCGATGAGAAAGTTTACATTCCAAAAGAAATGGTACGAAGAGTACATATATATGACTGGAATATTCAATGTAACAACTGCAAGATTACATACGAGCATCATAGCAGCGAAGAGATGGAAAGGAAAGAGTCTAGAGAAAGGGTCCAAAAGAAAGTTTCCACCTTGGATTTGCTTGCCCTCCTTGCTCGAAGTTTTCAGCAAAGATGATCTACACCACCTTCATCCCGACTTGTTTGAGGTCGCTACCTTGCCTGTGACAGTGGCATCACGTGAACGCACACACAGCAAGGTCAAAATAATAAACAATAATTTGCGAGTTGCTATGTCACCTGATAGACTCGAGGACCTTGTCCAGATTAGCAACGAACGAGATCTAGCCAACAATATTGAACTTAGCAAATTAGTGGAAATATTTAAGCTTGCAAAACCTCATAAGCTTGTCATGCAAGGAGATCTACGATAACATATAGCCATTATTATTCTACCTAACAGTTATTTTCATTTGTATTTAAATATAAAATAATGTTGACTTCAATTTTCCTGGAAGTAGCAATTCCTTTAGGCAGCTGTCAATCAATGTAATCGTAGTCAAAAGAATAAGAAGG